TATATAAATATATATATATATATATATATATTAAGTAATTAAAATTATTTAATACAATAAATAAAATATTTCTTAAGTAATTGATTGCAAAGAAAATGAATTATAACTCAATCAAATTTTACCCGAGATATTCAAATTAAAATTCTCAAATTTCCGTTCTAAAAAAAATAGATAATCTTGACCGACGAATCAATTTTATAACTCTATCTCTGATCATTCTTTATATAGCGTGCTTGGGTAAAATCATTTACTATTAAGTATTAACACTTGTACAATTATTTTCTAAATAAGTTTAATCTGCAATTCCAACATACAAATGAATTTTTTTTTAATGAAAATGAAATTTGATATTAAGGATTTACAACAATTTACACTCCCTATTTAACTAATTAGCTGAGTTAGACACACTTGATATCAATGATGCCTTACCCAAAAGTATTGAGAATACCTTCTCTAGCTTATAATATAAAAAGATTAAACTCTATATTTAAAATTGTAGCAAGTAATTAATGTCCTTTTAAAAATAGAGATATTGGTGTCATAAATGTTAGAAATATAATGAGATGAATGAAATTTGTGAAATTGACGTAAAATGGAGAGCATAATCACGCATGTCTTATGCAATGTTATGGTGTGTTGGAGGTCGCTCTCGACAGCTTTAAGTATAAAAGGTGCAAGAGGTTTGTCGCTTAAACTAGTGATAATAATTTTACCAAAGATACAAAAGCTTATGACAATATTAAATTGCGTCATGACTATGAAACTATGGGTACAATGGAAAACATTGTTAGTAACAAGTCATTGCCAGATATCCACCTATAAAAGCAATTGACGTTTCGAGATTGATTGAAAAAAACCATGTAACTGATAATTTATTAAAATAAAACCCACATTTTAATTTCCTCAAAGCTTTCTATAGCATGTATATATATTTATATTACTCTAGTTAAATTAAAATACTGTCAATTTTAAATGTCTTTATCTTATATTCATAATATAATACTTACTAACATTGTTAGAGTAAACAATAGTATTACTAAGTAGGTCAGATACCCCTTGTGAAATCCCCACTCATTTCTATACTTTGCCACATGTAACAGTTAGTTTGATTTGGTTTATTAGCCATATATTTGAATACGCAACCCATTCTCAATGATTTATAATTATGATTCTAGATACACATTGTGTAGATGAGATTAAAGTAAGCATTGTCATGGGTACACTTGGAACATAGTCTGTAAAGCTAAATGGAAATATTTGTTTGAAATAATATAGTATTAAGGTTTGGTGAAGAGGAGAAAGAATATTGGTAAATGAAGAATGGAAGAAATGCGTGGGAATATGATTAGGAAGGCATGATTAATGATTGGAGTCAAATGAAAGGCAAGCAACCTAACATTTTTTAACTTCTAAGGTCCCTCTTCGATCATAAACACATGCCCTCGTCTAAAACGAGAGTAATTACATTGCATGAAATTAAAAATAATAAAAGAAAGTTAAAAGAAAAAGTGAAGGGTTTGAAAGAAATATAGTATGACAGGTGTGGACGCACAATAGGGTTTGGAGTCCAAGGGAAAATGATGGGCCAAAGGCAGACGCATCCCGCAAATTACGACCCTTTTAGATTTTGTTTTAGGTTTTCATCATCACCCAAATCATTTGTAAAAATCAAAAATTAACAGAGGACTAGTTATCTTTTTTACTACCAAAAACGTTCTTGTTTAAATAATAATAATAAAAGGTGATTATCTTTTATTTATGGATGAATTTGATTATCAAAGATGAGAAATATAAAAACATTTAAATATTAGAGAGAAATTTGTCAATGGTTGACATACTAGCTACTCAATAAAACAAAATAATTTCAAACTACATATTAATCTACAACTTTGAGATGTCATATTTATAGATTTATTTATTTATTTATATGTTACTTAACATTTATTTTTATGCGATAAAATACTTTCATTCATATTTGCAAATCAACAATTATTTCATTAAAATAATCATAGTTCTTAATCTAATTGTTAAAGTTTTAGTGAAATAAATTAACAAATTATAATTAAGATTATATTTAAGTATTCACAATATAACTTGCTAATATATTCAAATTAAAAAATAAATGAATGTATATTAACAAATGCAAATAATGCTTGATAGCATATTTTCACTTATTTTTTTTAGAAGAAATATAATAATAAACTATAACTACAACTTTCTTGCAATATCCCTACTTCTGGCCAAAGAATAAGTGAATGTATATTAACAAATTTGTTTTATTAATCTCAATTAAAGTTAATTTTTTCCCGGAAGCTACCTTTCAATAAAACTTAATATCAAAAATAAAAAAGGCTTTAAAAATATAATATGAATTAAAAATACTATTTATATTTTATTATTCATTTTTTTTCTTCTTATAGTTGAAGTAGAAGGAAGAAAAAAATTTGCTTGAGCAGAATAGCATTAGGATAGGTTTGGAGAGAATGGAGAGAGAGTGAGAAACGACGTCGTGGAGGGAAATGACGTAGTTAAAAAAGAAGGACAAAAACAAAAGGTAAGGTTAAATTCGGTTGGTACGGAAATGAAGCGTCGGTGGTGGTAAACCGCAGGTTAAAATTTTGTACAGAAAAAAACACAAACAGAAGAAAGAATCGAAGTGCTTCGTATATAAGCCATTAAAGGCACATGAGAGAGTCTTATATTTCTTTCTTGAACCTCTCAAACTCAAAACATAAACAAAAAAAAATTAAAAAAAAAATAGAGAGCAAGAGAGAGAGAAGGAGAAAGGGGGAATTGGTGGGTGGAGGCTTCTTTGGAGTGAGTTGAGTTGATCATCAGGGAGAGGCTTCCATGTTCGCCACAGCCATGCCAGAATCCAATGATTCCGTTTCACTTCACATCCAGGACGAGGAGAAGATCTACCTCGGTGGAAAGGTCCCACCCCATTTCATTCTTCTCTTTTTTTCTCTTTCAAGTTTCAATCTTTTTTCGTTTCTTTCTTCTGGGCTCGATCCAGTTCCACTGTTTCTCAATTGGGTTGCAATTTCTTTTTTAGTTGTCGGCATTAATTATGCTGCATTTTCGGTTTTTTTGGATTTGGCTGTTGCTGAATGAAGGAGATGTGTGTCCAAATCAACGGTTTTGTGCCTGCCAGAGGGTTTAATTGTTTTGTTTTGTTTTACATAACGGAACATTTGATGGGGGCAAGTGTTTTGCTATTGGGATCTTTGTCGGAAAATAGAAAAAAAATGTACAAGAAACGTTTTTTCTCCAGCTCTTTCTATTACTCTTGAAAATGCATGGGGTTGTCTTTTTATTTATTTATCTTCTTTTTTGGAATGTTGTGTAGCTTATCATATCTTCTGAAGATTTGAACGCGGAATACAGCGGATCTGCACATTCTTTATTTGCCAATTGTCACATATTCCCTCCATTTATTAAGCTATTGGTTTTTTGAACATTTGGTGGTCGTTGTTTTCATCGGATTTCTTTTGGTTTTTGTTTTGAAAATTTGAGATACGCATATTAGTTTTATTTGTTTTCCCTTTTATTTTTTATTTATTTATTTTTATTTCTTTCGGGTTTAAAGGAATACGCATATTAGTTATTGGATGAGTTTCTGGCATTCTTTTCCTTTTAAAAGCCAAAGATACTCTTCACTTTTTCACTGTCTCTCCTTGTTATTATTATTATTATTATTCTTTTTTATTCTTGAGCATACAATGATTGGAATCTGGAATGACTTATTGCACTCTTCGGTTCAGATAGTGATATTAATGTGTTGTGTTGCTTGTGGGTTTGGGTTGCCCAAAAAGGGAGTAATGGCACATGGGGAACCATGTTAGAGAACAGGTAGCTTGGAAAAAGGTTCCTTATGAATTTTAACATTACTCAAATGGAGTGCATAGTAGATAAAGGATATCCTTTGCTTTAGGAGAAGGTTCTATTCATTCCTAAAAGTTCTAACTCCATTCGTTTTGGATAACCATTTCAGGAACATCATATTCGAACTGGCTGTGGTTCTGTGTCTGTCATAGTCTATGGTGATCATGACAAACCAGCTCTGATCACTTATCCAGATTTGGCCCTAAATTGTAAGTGCTGCGTGCTGCCAATTTATTTTCTTTTATCTAATTCCACTTGTTTCAAGATTCTGATTCTGTTCTAGACTTTGTCTATAATGTATTGTACATGTGCATCTGGAAATAAGTCAATATTTGACTTGTGTGTATTGGTGCAGATATGTCATGTTTCCAAGGATTATTTTTCTGTCCAGAGGCAGCTTCTTTACTGCTTCACAACTTTTGCATATACCATATCAGTCCCCCTGGACATGAGGTTTGTCAGTTGATCGATTTGAATGAGTTTTTTTATTGCATTTAGAACTGAATATTATTATTCACATTGTTTTTCCTCTGAAACTTCCACAAGAGTTCTTGCAGTTGGGAGCAGCTGCAATTTGTGCCGAAGATCCTGTTCCTTCTGCTGAAGACTTAGCAGATCAAATAATTGAAGTCCTCAACTATTTTGGGTAATCAGAATATAATTATAATGTTGATAATTTTATTTTGTGGGGACTGGGTTAGCTTTGCTTTAAAGGTCCAAGATTTTGGAAATTGGAAGTTAAAGAACACTGTCCTCTGTGTGGGGGGGGGGGGGGGGGGGGG